ATGGGCTTCAGACGTATCTACCGGAAATAGTAACAGATGCAGAAAATGCTTTGGTAAGAACCACCTTACGCATTAAGAACCTCAGCTGGAAAGTTGACACAGCCAAAGCTAAAAGGAAACCAAGGGTTAATGTATATGTTAATAAAAGGTCTATTCACGATTTTTACAAATCACTTCCTGGGAAATCGAAAGATTCATTGCCCCGCAGATTAAATACTTCTAATTCGGATACTTCTTCCAACTCAGATATTTCGGATAGCGATTCAAGTAATTCTTCCTTATCATGTTCAGGATCAGAAGATAAGCACATATATAAGACTGTGACTGTTATACACCCGAAGCGATGTCGCAAAGAAAAAAAGAAAAATTAATTACATATAAGCAAAATATAATAATCACGATACAATGGAAGAATATACTCAGAATTTCCTTAAACAATTCCTAAAGGATCATAATGTGTTAAGAAAATATATATCTCCAAAAAATCCATACAGGCGATGTATTAAATGCCGACGTGCGTATAGATTTTCAGTTGATATTCAATTAAGATATCATCAATATTGTTATCCGTGTTCCAGAAAACAAGCAGTATTAACTATTCAGCGGATATTTCGTTCATGGTATCGAAGACGAATAGATTCAGCTAAAATCGTCCAAAACGCAGTAATTAAGTGGCTTTATCGACCCGATGGATCATTTATGAAGTAAGCCAAAGATCGATATTATCAAAATTCGAATAAGCTTAGTTAAAAATACTAATTTTATTTGCTGTATCGTGTATATATCTGTGATAATTTTCCTTGCTTTACATTTGATTCTAGACATAAGCACTAATTGGTACTAGTTGATTTTTTAACGAAAACTTTATATAATTGTTGAAAAGAAACATTCGGAAATAATGGTAGTCCCTCACCTGTAAACTAAAATTTCTTTACTCCCCTATCAACGAATTTCTTCATTAGCACACCCGGATCATCTTCTAAGGGACCGTGGAATTTCTCAAACTTTCAGAGGTACACTCTCGCATTTTTATCGGCTTCTTCTGCCATTTCTTGATTAGTATAGCCAACAATACCAATTTTTCCTGAATTGTCACTATATCATCTTCTAAGCATAAAAGCAAATCAAATAATCTAATTGGTTTATTTAAAGCGGCTTTATCCCTTCTAAGTTCCACTTCTAAAATGGGATTGATATCTATACTAAGTTTTTCTTGTATAGGTATTAAATCACCCACCAATTCTAACAACAATTCATATGAATCATCAAGTTTTTTCGCTTTCTTGCTCTCCGACACTGCGGTTTGATTTATATTACCATTAATACCAAGTTTTTTCTGAATAGCTGTTATATCCTTTTTCTTATATAACAACACCTCGTATAATTGAAAAAATTTTTCACTTGGATCAGTTTTATGTGCCTTGGCACTAGCCCCGCTATTATTAGTATTACTCGTCATGATTGTTATAATATGGTAATATAATTAATGCGGAAAATATCACATAAATATATAAATTAAGTGAATATAGCAAATTTAATCTGGAAACGCGAATAAGCTTAGTTAGCTACATTAATAAATCGCGATAATCAGATTTTTTTACGTATGACGTTGCACATTTCTATTACCCGTGACATGTATTCGAGATGCAGAGCCGAAGTGACATTTATTCCGAAATAGGTGCATACTACATCTAAATTAAGTAACAAACAAATTATCGGCGATGTATGCACACGATTTTATAGGTGAGCGATCATCCGATGCGCAATTTTCGGCATAAATAGTACGAAGACATCATATTTTAGTACGAAAAATAAAGAACCAATGCTATGGATAGCTGATGCTGGATTTTAATATATAAAAACACGTCGATATCGCTGGAGTCTCGGGTAAGGGATTGAGTCGTACCAAACGTCAAAATCAATAATTAATCGGTTTATCAATTGCAAAACAAATAACTACGGAAAAAATGCAACTTAACATTTCTGATATTTTTTTATTTGCGATTTTCATCGCTGTAATCGCCATCTACGAATTATATAACCGGGGAGTAATAAATCACATCTTGATAGAGAGGAGGTAATCAAATATTTGCAAACGGTTTTCGTAATGTGAGAATCTTGGCGTGTGGGAAAAAAAAAAAATATATGACTAATCTTGTTATATCGTGAAACATAAATTCTATATCTTATACGAATATGTAAATTCCACAAATAATCATGTCTATTTTAATGTGGCAGGACAATTTTTACATAAATACTTGCGAATTTTGACTTTCTTAATTTTTTTAATTTTTTAATTATTTATTTTATTCTTTTGGCGCAGTAAACATAGATTAACCCAAATTAGCATTATGGCGGATACGTTCAACGATAAAAAAAATTTTACTTCAAACGAATCCCAAGATACCATAATAAGAATGTGGATTCTCTTTGAGGGTAATACAGAACCCACTAAGCTAAAAGCTGATGTATCTAAAGTTACGGACTTGGATGATTTAAAATATAAACTCACGAATGATTTCAACATATTGAAAGATGTCGAACCATCAAAAATTATATTTTTCAACCACAATGATCGTAGCACACCTATTCCACCAGACGCTCTTCTACAACCTCTGGCTGACGATACAACAGCTAAATCTCCACTCGTTGTACGCTACCCGATATCAGATTCGAGCAGTATGTATAAAGTATTTTTGTCCACTTATTTGTATTTAATAATTGTACTCATTGATGATTTGCAGTCGTAGTAAGATTCAGATTTTTGCAAAATCTTAGCGACTGCCGAATACCCCATTCCAGTGGGTTGTGGGAACTACTTCGAGAAGAAGTTAGGGAAAAGTTCGATAGACTGGCAACAACTGACTTTATTTATATTGTTAAGAAAAACTCAAATGCCTTAAACTCCTCAGAAGAGGAAATCAGAAACGAATATCAACTTATGAATTTAATATCCCAAACAAAGCCAAATGAATTAAATGAACGCATTTTAAATCTAAAAGTACGAATTAAAGGGAAGAAGGCGTTTGGCGATTGGAGTTTTAAAGAAGTGGCTAGAGAGATTTATAACGATAATTTTGACAGTCTTCGTACCATGCGAAAATTTGACATCAAAGATCTTCCCGAATTAAGCCCACCAATAAGTGAAGAGGAAGTTAAATATTTTATTAAACAGCTCAAAAAAAAGGCATCGGCATTCAAAAATTGTGTCAACACAAATGAAGCCACAGTACGCGAATACATTTCAATTTTTATGACTGAAGCAGTTTATCATATTCAACAATATAAAGATTCAACAACAACATTAAGCGTGGAGTCCGAACTTGAAGGATCTCGAGGCTATGGTAATTTGGATTATGAAGTCGATGTACAAGATGTTCCTGTACTAATTAATGAGGCTAAGAATTTAGATATGGAAAAGGGAGTTGCTCAAAATTTGATACAAGTTCATACTGCGGCCGAAGTAAGACCTGAAATATTTGACATTATATTATTGTTTTAAAATTTTTAACTTATATAAAATTAACATTTAAATCATATCAGAAATTGTTAGGGAAACGAAAACGTGAGCAAGTGGATTCTGATTCTTTGTTACCTCCAATAATGTTTGGTATAGTAACAACAGGAAATATTTGGCGATTTATCCGTTGGTCTGGAACATTACAATCTCCAAAAGCTGAAATTTCTCTCGCGATTGTATGTGATCTTTGTGGTGGTAATTATCAAGATGTAAAAATTGTGTTATTATATATTGCACGATTATTGCAAGCACAGGCTGATGCATTAGAAAATAATCAGGATAAAGAACGAGACAATAAGCGTCATAAAAAATAGTAGATTTTATTTTATAATCGATAATATAATTTCAAATAATGAGAGTTTACAGATATGAATAATAAAATTTTTTGCCATTCGTAACAAGCTTTATAAATTTCTTATGTGCGATTAATTATTTCCGATTTGATCTGTCATATATTTTTATGCATATACAAAGTATTTAAAGTTTTACCTCTATTCAATGAGACCCAATTCTCGAAGGTGCTCCGGAATAACTATATATGGGTCTTCATAGTACCAAACATACCTTAAAACAATCCAGTTTTCTTTACACAAAGTTGATCCCGTGCCTGCTGTTTGATAAAATTATCAGGATCTCCTCTATGAAAGAATTTAATGTATTTTTCGTGTTGCACTCCCTGAACCTCAATTGCGAGACCATATTCTGGATAAAATATATCAAGTTGTAGACCTTGAGGACGTTCAGACGTTTTTAAAAAGTCTGGCCAACGATTTTCTGACGGAGATCCAAGATATTTCGTCACAATCTCGCGACATAAATTCTCCCGTTTGAATTTTGAGCAAAATGGGCACCATGAATTATGATTTTTTATACTATTAAAGGATGTATACCAAGTATGACCTTTATCACATTTCCAATAATATTGATTTTTAGATTTGGTGTAATCTTTAGAAAGACACTCACCACCACGCAAATAAGCAGTTTTTTGCAACTCTCCAAGATTTAACTTAAACCCACATTTTGCACATTGTGGACACCATGTATTACGATTTTTTATACTACCAAGGGATGCATACCACATGCGATTTATTGCATTGCCATAATAATGGAGTTATATTATTATTATATTGGTTAGAGAGACATTTTCCTTCTTTATTATATGCAATTTGTTTAGCATCTTCGAGAGTAAGACGATTATCAGTACAATATGGACACCATTTACCATAGTTTTTTACATTGCTAAGAGATGCATACCAGGTATGAGATTTATTGCATTGCCATAATAATGGTGATTTGCTGTTAATATATTTTTCTGAAAGACATTGTCCACATTTAGATAGTGCAATTTGTTGAGCGAATTCAATGGTAAGTTTTGCAGTACCTATACAATATGGACACCACATTCCATCATTTTTTATTTTACCAAGCGGAGCACTCCATGTATGAGTCTTAGAACAACACCATATTAATGGGGTTTTATTATCTTTGTATTCAATTGAAAGACATTTCCCATCACGGGATTCAGCAATAGCACAAGCATCATTTAAAGATAATTTTTTCATTGTGAAAGATACATTTTAATAAAAGATTATTTTTTCAATATAAGTGTCATCAAGATAAGGTCAGCTCTTAAAATAGAGTGGCGAGTAGGATGTATTATAGTGGAGCTAGTGTTAAAACACATATTAATATGCTAATAAATAATGAAAAAATAATTATTATTCTATTGTTTTAAAAATCACGTTCTATTCATCTAATTTCAATGAGGTATCCCATCTTTTGCGAAGATAAAGAGCGTCTTCTTTAGCTCTAGTTAAATTGATAACAATAAATTCCTGACCCTGTAAATTTTTATTAATAATCTTAGACACTTTTTTTCTATATATAAATAACTCCCAAAATTAAATAGATCCATTAATAAGTATAGTTATAATCTCTCGATGCTTGTAGTGTATCACAACATCTTTCACAAACCATCCAAGGATATTTGAGGTTTAAAGATACTGATTAATTATAGTTCTTTTTCCCATGAGCAGTGATCCGATAATTCAGATATTTTTTCATCAAATCTCCTATACTTACATTCTTGTCCTTTGCCACATAGGTTTTATGGGTATCATCTACTATAACTTTTATCGCATTCTTATCATACATATTCGAAGGCTCCAGTTCAAAAGTGATGGTATCTGATTTCTTAAATTTATAACCACCACGAAATCTCATCCCTACCACCATAAAGGAATGTATAACAATACAATCTATATACAATGGTAACGATATTTCCTTATAACTACAACAAATATTGCCGGAGGCAGTTACTTCATAATTAGACATGATTAAAAACTATTATATTTTCTGTATACAAATAATATCTAAGTTCAAATAGATAATCCTATTATCCGATCCATATATCTCCCAACTACTTACTTTTTTTACCTATGCCCATCCACATCTTAATATCACAAACCATATAATAGTAATAAACAGTAAAATAAGTAATATATATGCTGATAATGGGAACATCAAACCACTTGCCACAATAGGTAGGGTTGTTAACTGGAGCATAATGTTCTGGCATCAACCTGGGTTATGTATCACTCTGTCACGGAGCGGGTTAAGATTTCTAATTTTTTGTA